TAAAGTGAAATTTCTGACCCTTGTTTTCATTCCTCACCGTCTCTCTTTCAGCTTTGTTGCAAGATGACATCACTCAGGCTGTGGCGTGTGCGAAGAGGGTTGTGAGGGATCCACAAGGCATCAGGGCATGGTATGCTTGAGTGTTAATGGGGAGAACTGCTCATGTCACCCCTATGACGGACCCAGCGAGATGAAAACTTTTAAAGACCAAAATGTCCTGAGAACTGAACTGCAGCTTTTGGCTTATGCGAGACAAAGCATGACTTCCATCCATCAACAGTGGTCTACTTTTAACTGATTCAGTACCTTCCTCTTGTACTCCTCAATTCAATTTTGGGTTTTCTGGAGTTCTTAAGATTCTCATATTCCAATAGTTCCTTTTTATATCATGAAAATATTTGTAAAATAAGTAAATGTCCAATGCAACATTTACTGAACACAACTAAATATTTGTGCCCAGCATTCGGTGGTCTGCTGAGGGTTTGGGGAGGAGCAAAGTATTTGTGTGCACACCTCCACTCAAACAGCAACACCTAGGTCTATCTAGAGATTGTAAGTTTTTTTTTTTGATAAAATATATTCGCCTCAATCGATGTGGAGTATGTACACTAAAATGAACATGTTTTAATGTTTTCTCTGTGTGTTCACTATTCTGTACAGGGTGGCATGGAGAAATCGGTGTCAAAACCAAGATCTCACTCAGTATGTGCGCGGCTGTGGAGTTTAACTGCAAACATCCCCTTCTTGAGCTCACATCGCATCTTTTTCAACTTGAAGGGAGTGATGCTTAAGTGAAAGGTCACACCACCACTGTTTCCCTTCAAATAAACAGAATCTTTATAGCAGCAAGAAGAAAATATATCGTTTCTCCTCAGAGCTTTACTGTTTATTACGTTTATTATTTGATATTAACCTACATTTTTCAGTTTACTAATAGAACTAATGCTGGTGAAAATTTATCTCAAACTGTGATTCTCAAATATATCTGTAGTACTTTCAGTCCTTTATAGAGAAAAACACAGACACTTAATGTGAATGATACAAGTACTCCCTGACAAAGGGTTTTGTTAAAAAAAAAAAAAAAAAAAGCTATCTTAGAACAAGATGAACATGTGTGAAATTTCAGCTTTGTAAGCATCTGATGCCTTCACCTCTCCTGTCATCTCCTAAAGCAGTGAAAAGAAACAGCTGTGCTGGGCCACATCAGTCTTTCAGCGAGCAGAATGCAGACTGAGTGAATGAAGAATTTTCATAAAATATGAGACCTTTGGTTTGTATGTGGAGAGTGCTGGGGCTCAAACACAAGGCCCTGCCCGTGCTGAATAAGCCCTTTACCAGTTTGTCACAAATTCAGCCCTATGAAAACAAGCAAATAAAGTATGATTTTGAGTTCACGCATTTTCTTAACAACATTGTGTTGTACAGCTTTAACACTGAATTCACAATTTATATCAATCTGCTTTAAAGCTTGGAGGAACACTTGCTAATCAGGAAGGTGGCAAGCAGAGACTAAATGAGCTTTTCCTGCTCTCCATTTTATTAACTGAAACTCACACATTTAAACTATCTGAGAGCAGAGGGATACAACTGCGCACTTTGGGAAAATGCAAACATTATCGTTGAAGAGTTTGCTATGCGTATGTTGTCTATCTTTCTTTAACCCACTCGGGGTCTCACAACAAAAACATTATACGTATTCAAGTAAAAATATTGTACGTAATTCAAGAAATTAGAAGGAACGGGCATTGCTCACATCTTTTACATCCTCACCTGTACAGCAGTGCTGGACATTGCTGGAGAAAATGCCACAAGTCTGCAGACACACCACTGTACATGTATCACAAGGAATCTCACGTGGGTCCTCCTGGCCATCTCAGTGGCCTCTTCAATCTTTCTTTGCAGGGTCCTCTCGCTCCAAA